ACATGACCACATTTTTTTTACGACTCCCCCGCGCCTGTGGTGTGCAACTCGCCACCGCGCGTGGCGTCGATGGGGTCGATGTGGCACAGTTCCGCCGCGTGAAAGCGGCGCCGGCGTCGATGGGGCGACCTTCAAGCGTGCCATGAAACAGAACTCAAATTACACAAGCTCAGAGTTGGAAACAAAACTGGCCCGTCATCCCAAAACAACGCAAAATTGGGTGGCAAAGTTCAATAATATGCCAGTCTCAAGTCCCCATATGCCTGAGAGGTCAGGAAGTTGGCCATTTTGGACAAAATTAGGCCCGATTGTGCGGCGCTAAATTACAGAGCTTCAAAATTGGATCATTTCCTTGAGGGTCAGCCACCCCACCCCCCCTTTTATCGCTGCACGCATTTTAATCCATATTATTACGACGAAGGACAATTTACCACAAGGCGAAAGAGTGCGAGTCAGTTTGCCGTGCAGCGTTCAAGCGCATTTCTCAGTGAAGCATCCACGCTGAACGCACCATTAAATCATGACAATTACACACGTCAGTCGGCGCGTTATGAAAGCCACAGCGAGCGCCACATTCCGTCATCACCGTTAAGCTCTGAATGCGCACATAGAATCTGATTCGGGCTATTTGGACCTGACGACTTTGACATTTGTGCGCCCCAAACGACAGGCTTGCGTTTCTATATCCAGGCGACTAATGATTGTCAGGTCGTGACTTCGCTCTCGTGTGCTCGTGAAAAAGGAAACAGAAGCAGGAGGAGGCCTGCAGTGTGTGCATTCGATAAGAGGAGAGTTTTATCGCTTCTTTTCAAAAGGTGGATAGGCGATGAGCGAACAAGAAGAAACCCTCGTCGAGACAAAGCCCCCCTCCCACCCCCAAATAATGACAGGTTTAGTGTGAGTAAGGCCTGTGAAATTTTAATAACACTCACACAGCGCGCTCTGACGAGCATCTCGTTAACTGCTAACAAAAGTGGCTCCTCTCACGGCGGCATAAAAAAGGAGAACTGTGACCACAAGTATCGACACTCGCCGATTCACGGGTCAGTGAATTAATTGGTCGCATTTGTTTTCCATTGCTCCGGTTAGTTCAGTGGAACTAAAACACGACTTTGCTTGCATTTCAAACACGCATCTTTTGTTGGTTTTTAAACGTCAATGACAGTTACTGCAGGGGGCAAAAAAAAAAAAAAAA